ACCACAGATAAGGACCAAGCAGGTCACACACTGACCAAGACTGCTTAGTGACACTCCCTCAACACCGCCTCTTATCAGCCTGAAGTTCATATCAGTGCCTGAAGATGGTGTCTTGGGACCCCTTTATCTATACCTCCCCAAACAGCCACATTCCTTTACCCTTCCCTGCCTGTCACCACTACATGTCTCTGTAATTGGTGTGGTGTGGCAGACAGCTGAGCCTAGTTGATTGGGATTCTCAGAGTTCTTGCCCTTAAACTCCAGTAACATCACAATAGTGGTTTTCATTGAATTCCTCTAGCAACTAATAATGCTGAGCATGTCTTTTTCTTGCTTATGCTCATCATATCTGAAGTAGCCTTTCTCTGTATGTGAAGAAATCCATTGTTGAGTTCTGCCTCCTCACTGAGACTGAAAACTCAAATGCCCACTCTCCTGTAGCGAGATCAGTCTTCTGTAGGCGTGTCTCCCAGACTGCCAATCAGACAGATGAATGTGGTTGTCTCTAGAAGAAGCTGTTAATGTTCCAGCGGCAGTAAGGTCAAATTTTGGCTCACAATTGGCATCAAAACATCATTAGGAGTATTTGTCCCAGTGTTTGATGCAACAGCAGTTCCTTCCTTTCTTTCTTTCTTCCTTTCCTTCCTTCCTTCCTTCTTTCCTTCCTTCCTTCCTCCCTTCCTTCTTTCCTTATTTTTTTTAAGACAGGATTTCTCTGTGCAGCCCTGGCTGTCCTGGAACTTGCTCTGTAGACCAGCCTGTCCTCCAACTCAGAGATCCACCAGCCTCTGCCATCCGAGTCCCAGGATTAAAAGCATGTGCCACCACACCTTTAAGAAACAGCACTTCCTTCTTTCCTTCCTTCCTTCCTTCCTTCCTTCCTTCCTTCCTTCCTTCCTTATTTATTTATTTATTATGTACAGTGTTCTGCCTGTATGTATGCCTGCAGGCCGGAAGAGGGCACCAGATCTCATTGCAGATGGTTGTGAGCCCCCATGTGGTTGCTAGGAATTTGAACTCAGCCAGTGCTCTTAAACGATGAGCCATCTCTCCAGCCCCCAAAACAGCAGTTTCTTAATGAAAATAATATGAAGCCATGCAGAACCAGCCTCAAGCCAAACTATACAGTACTAGCCATAATTATTATTATCATTACTGTTATTATTATCAGGGTCTCCATCTGTCTCCCAAGAGCTAGCATTAAAGGCTTGTATCATCATTCCTAGCAGCAATTCTTTATGGCGCTCAACATCTACTCAATACGATCCTTCTGTGTTTTATCATTATTTTAAAAGAGGGGATAGGTTTATTCTGTCTAGCTCAAGACTGAAATTCTAGAATGTATGTTAAGTACTTTAGAAAAATAATTATGGGAAAATGATAAATGCAGAGGACCAGAGATAAAATCTCAGATACCAGTGTCAGACAGCTCACTCCACCCACTCTAGCACCAGAGGGATCCCAATATTTCTGGTGCTGGAGTGAGTGAACAGCTAGCTAACCAATTCAAATTTAATGATAATATTATGAAATCTGTCAATAATACTGTCTTTCTCTCTGAACACCATTCTAACTTCAAAATGCTGAACTGACAACCTATAAGTCATGCTTCAACACTGGTCAATGTTTTCTCAGCAATTACACAAGTGACCTTGGCAATTCAAACACAATAACTGATAGGTAATGTCTGTTGCCAATGATAGCTCGAGCTTCAGAAAATTTATTTTGAAAACTTTTTGTTAGCTACATGATGAGTCTGACATCTTACCAAGCAATACTTATAGGTAGCAGTGTTGATGAATGGGATTTAAAATGTGTGTTGAATGAAATATGGCAGTATAGGGAAGGCCGGCGTAACTATCATATCTATAACTCTAGTTCCAGGGGACCCAGTGCTCTCTTCTGATCTTCTGGGAACTACAGGCACAAGGTGCATAAATATGCATGAAGGTAAAACACCTATACACATAAAAATGATACATATACAGAGTTTTTAAAAGACCATTACAAAATTGAGAGTGTTAAAATTATGCATAAGTTCTAAATTGTAAAAGCTATTCGTGTGCAAAATGAACCGATGCACTTTGCAAGGCCTGAAAGCTCGTTGGAAGGGTTTTCTAATTGACTTTAAGAAACTATCACTCTCAAAGGAAAATGTTCTAAAGCTGAATTTTCCCCCTTGATAAGGTTTTTTTAAAGTTTCATTTTATTATTTTAAATTATTTGTATGTGTGTAAGTCTGTGTGGGAATATATGCATACAAGTGCTGGTGGCCACAGACACCAAAGATATTGAGGTCCCTCAGGAGCTGGAGTGAGTAGTTATGAGCTACCTGACATGGGTACTGGAAATTATCTCTGGTCCCCTGCAAGAGCAGCAAGACTTTTCATTGCTGAGCCATCTCTCCAGTTTGGTTTTTTGTTTTTGTTTTTTAAGACAGGGTTTTTCTGTGTAGCTCTGACTGTCCTGGAACTCACTGTGTAGATCAGGCTTGCCTGGAATGCCTAGATCTGCTTTCCTGGGCCTTCTGAGTGCTGGGGTTAAGGACGTATGCCACCAACCCCTGGTCTCTGTTTATTTGTATTTTGTGACAGGGTTCTTATGTATATCAGGCTGGCCTCAAAATGACATTGATAAGTGTTCTAAAACTATCTTTAAACTAGCTTGTTATGAAATAGTATTAGTTAGTTAGATTATAGTTTCTTGTTTTAATGACTTATTTATTTTTATGTGCATTAGTGTTTTGCCTGCATGTATGTCTGTGTGAGGTTGTCAGAAACCCTGGAACTTAAGTTACAGACAGCTGTGAGCTGCCATGTGGGTGTTGGGAATCCTGAACCTTTGAAAGAACAGCCATTATTCCTCCAATCCCAGATTATAATTTCTTATACTAATGCAATTTAAAATCCCTAAAAGTCTATTGTCACACAGACTTGGAGTTAGGACAAGAAGTAGTGATTGCTTTCAGATAAGTGAGAGGGACTGACGATATTTTTTTTTCCTGTTTAAATTAAAAACAGCTTTAAAACTTAGTCTTATTTATTTTGTGTGCCCTTTTATGTTTGTGTACATGTGTGTACTCGTGTGATGTTCTCAGGTGAAGGTAGAGGATAGCTTGTAGGAGTCAGTCCTTTACTTCCACTATGTGGATTCCAAGATCGAATTTGGAAGAGGCTTGGATGCAGGCGTCTTTACCCGACTATCTGGCCAGACCCAATTTTCCCTTTTTTTACTTTCTTAGGCATATTGCCTACCAAGAAAAAGAACCAAACCGCTGTAAGATCTGGTGCCACAGATTCTCCGGATGTCTTGAGGGCATTATCCACAGCCCAGTGCTCTTTTGAAATACGAACCTTCCATCATCTATCACACTTTAAAACTAAGGCAAAAAAAGATAATTTTCAACATTTCCCGTTAGAGCTCTTGCCTCCCCACAAGCTTCAGGGCTCCCATGTTTCTCCACTTCCTCACTACCTCGCTGCGACATCGCATCACGCCTGTCATTCCCTCCCACCCTAGGGTCTGCACCTTCCACCGCCCACGGAGGACCTCAATAGTGATCCCTGAGCTTCCGCGAGATTCTGGAGCTCCGCCGGCTGGCAACAGGGTGCGCTGGGACCAACCGGGAGGAGTCTCGAAGCATCTGCAACCCGCCCTCCCCATCACCCGCACGAACAATAGGTAGATAAGACAAACACTAGGGCCCGGACCAACCGTACAAGCAGCTAGCGCCGAGTCCTGCAGCGAGAAGCCCCGCCCCAAGCTGACCCCGCCACATCTGGGCTCCTCCTTCCGCACGTTTAAGTTCCTCCCTCAGGCTATTGCCCCACACATGGCTCCGCCCCCCGCGCGCCAAGCCCCGCCCTCAGCCCGCCGCTCTAACCCGGGCTCCGCCTTCTGCGCCCCTGAGCTCCGCCCTCAGCCCGCCGCTCTAACCCGGGCTCCGCCTTCTGCGCCCCTGAGCTCCGCCCTCAGCCCGCCGCTCTAACCCGGGCTCCGCCTTCTGCGCCCCTGAGCTCCGCCCTCAGCCCGCCGCTCTAACCCGGGCTCCGCCTTCTGCGCCCCTGAGCTCCGCCCTCAGCCCGCCGCTCTAACCCGGGCTCCGCTTGCCGCGCGCCCAGGCTCCTCCCCCTCGCGCTCACCGGTCACACCACGGCACGCGCCCGGTGCGGTACTTCTCAGGCAGGTTAGCTCACAGGTTAGAGGCGGGAAACCGGGTAACGGTGATAACCCGGCACAGAGGCGGAGTCGCATTTCGGAGCGTCCACACGTAACGCGGCTCCTCACGCACGCAGCCGGGAGTCCATGGCAGGGGACGCCTTGCAGAGGTCGTGGGTGCCAGCCGGCCGGCGGCGAGTCGCCCTCAGCCCCGGGAAGGGACCCCGAGGCGCCCGGAGCGGAACCCCTTTCCCAGACTTTACAGTCGCCCCTCCCCCTCCGGGGACCGTTACCCGTCGCCGCCTGACGGATCGGCTCTGTGACTGTCGCCAGAGTGGCCCTGGGCATCGTTTGTCTAGGGCACGATGGCTTGTGGCCTTGGAAGGTAGTGCTCTGGGCCACTGGGTTGTCGTGGGCCACATGGTAGGTGCATCACTCTTCTGTAGCGACTGTGCCAGGGCCATGGGCACGGGAGGGAACTAATGTCCACAGGCAGTGCCTGCAGCGTGCCACAAGCACCAAGCACCAAGGCGAAGCCACCAAGCTGCAACTGCCTTGTATGAGGCAACCAAGGTTTTGTGCTAAAACCGCAGTAGGCTTTCTTTTGTTGGGGCCATGCGGCAGGCATTCCGTTCAAGGATGTAGATAAAAGTAGCTCCCAAATGCTAAGGGTGATGTGAGTTATATTTAGTCTCCAAGGGTTCATTGAAATAAATTAAAATGCCTTTGAGGTGACAAGAGTTAGGCAAGACTTACCGTTTTACTCACATTTGCCTCCCACCGTAATAACTTTACGGCTCCCATATAATCCTGTTAACACCTCACTGTCTGCATTCTTTTCCATTCATCCACCAATTTCATTTCATCCTGCCCAGGTTCTCTGCTCACTTCCTTCCCAGCGTTGCGGTCGGATCATTATAGCTCCAGGATCTGCTGTAGACTGCCCTCTCTCCAGTACTCAGTATGTGACTACTAATCATTAGAGGGTGTGCTGCTGGATGTTGCCAGGCAAGCATACTAAAAGATATCATTTCTTGGGTATCCAGGTAACTTATCCACGAAAACTCATTCTCTAATTATTTTTCAAGACATTCCCACCTGAGCCTTAAAGTCTAATGGAACTGTAACTTATAAATATGTCTTAAAGGCCATTTCTGCTCTGAAAAAAAAAAAAGCTCTATTGCATATGGAAATCAATAGTAATTAAAATATTTTTAGTAATTTTATGCAAAAAGGTTCATGGTGTGAAAGTTTTAATTTTTGCATCATAATAGAAGTTTTGGAGCATTTCAGATTTTCAGGAATAGGTACATTTAACCTTGTTGGTTTTATAATTTTTGTTTTGAGGTCTGGAAGGAGGTGTCTCAATGTATTGCCAAACTCAAAGGCACAAGTCTGCCTCAAGGATCTCATATGCTGGAATTAGAGGATTGTGGAGTCATGCCATCTACCTTTATTTTGATAAGACCTTGTATTTAGAGTTTGTCACTGACATGGGATAAGAATTTGGGGGTGTTGGAATAATATAAATAATATATGTGTGAGGACATGAATTTGGAAGTCTGGAGGGTCGAAGTGTTATGGATTGAATGAATGACGTTCCTTTCAAACTCATGTTACCCAGGTATGGTGGCTTATATCTGTAATCCCAGCACTTGGAGGTAGAGGTAGGTAGGAAAAGCATAAATTCAAGGCCATTTTTGGTCACACACACACACACACACACACACACACACATACACACTATATATATATATATATATATATATATATATATATAGTGTCCAGGCTGGGCTACATGAAATCTTGTCTCAAGAAAACAAACAAATGGGCTGGAGAAATGGCTCAGTGGTTAAAAGCATTGACTACACTTTCTGAGGACTGGGGCCTAATTCCTAGCACTTACATGGTGGCTCACAACTTTCTTGTAACTTCAGTTTTAGGGGACCCAACATCCTCACACAGACATACATATAGGCAAAACACCAACATACATGAAATAAAAATTAAAAAATATTTAAACAAACAAATAATAATAATTTAAAATCCCCCAAAATTTATTCCCCCAATGAGGTCAGATCCAATTTGTATACTTTGATATGGTTGCCCTCACAGACTAATAAAGACATTGTCAAGAATGTAAAGAGGCCCAGGTACAGTGGTATATGCCTATAATGCCAGAACTCAGGAGGCCAAGGCAAGAAGACCTCAAATTGGGAAATAGCCTGGGTTACATAATGAGCCTATCTGAAAAGACAAATGGGAAGATAATACAGGGGGCTGGAGAGATGGTTCAGTGGTTAAGAGGTCTTGCTGTGCTGGCCATGGTGGTGCACCCATTAACCCAGCCACTCAGGAGATACAGGTAGGCAGATCGCTGTGAGTTCAAGGCCAGTCTGGTCAACAGAATAAATTCCAGGACAGCCAGGGCTGCACAGAGAAAACCTATCTCACCTCCCCCCAAAAAACAAACTGTCTCACCCCCCCACCAAAACAAAACAAAAAACCCCTGAAAACTCTTGATGCTCTTGGAGAAGACTCAGGTTTGGTTCCAAGCACCAATATGGTGGTTTCCAACCATAACTATAATTCCAGGGAATCTGATGTCCTCTTCTGCCCTCCATGGGCACCAAGCACACCTGTTGTTCACCTACATACATGCATACATATAGGTGAAACACTCAAGTACATCAAATATAAAAAAGGTTTTTTTAAAGAAGACAATACAGATTGGGAAAACAATTTGCAAACTGTGTCGCTTACGGTCTACCTTGAATATATAAATAACTCAAACTCAACAAAAAAGACAGCACCATTTAAAATGAAAAAAGTTGCCGGGCAAAGTTGCTAAAGTGTGTCATTCCAGCTACTAGGGAGGTTGAGGCAGGAAGGTCATGAGTTCAAGCCTACCTGAGCAACTTAGTGAGACCCTGACTCATAAAGGAAAGTGAGAACTGAGGATATATCTCAGTAGTACAGCACTTGAAGGGGTGGGGGAAGGATGAAGGAAAAGAGCTAAAGAGATATTTCTTTAATGATACACAAATAGTAATAAGAACATGGAAAATTGATGTAATAGTCATTAAGAAAATGCAAATCAAAATTTTAATAAGATAACACATCAACCTTACAAGGATGACTAAAAGAAAAGTTTTGGCAAGGGTGGAGTTGGTTCCCTCATACACTACTGTTGGAAATGCAAAATGATTTTACAAAGCCACTTTGTACAAGCCTGGTAGTGGTGGTACGCCTTTAATCCCAGGACTCAGGAGGTAGAGGCAGGTGGGGATCTCTGCGAGTTTGAGTCCAGCATGGTCTACAGAAGGAGTTCCAGGACAGGCTCCAAAGCAACACAGAGAAACCCTGTCTTAAAAAACCAACCAACCAACCAAACAAACAAACAAAAAGACCACCACCACCAACAACAAAAAAAACCCCCAAACAAGCAAAAAGCCCCTTCGTAAAACTATGGAATAGTCCTTTGAAAATTTAGTTATCACATGACACAGAAATTCCTCTTCTAGGCATATAGGATAAAAACATATGTCCACTCCAAATTTGGTACATGAATTATTTTCTAGGGAAATATGTCAGTGTAGATCACTTGCCCAGCACAGACGAGTTCATGAGTTCAAGCCCAGCACCAAAAAGAAAAAGATTAAAACAAATTGTTATGAGCCAGGCAGTAGTGGGTACATTCCTTTAGTCCCAGAATTTGGGAGGCAGAGGCAGGTAGATCTCTGTGAAGTTCAAGGCCAGCCTGGTCTACAAAGGTAGTTCTAGGACAACCAGGGCTACACAGAGAAACCCTGTCTGGAAACAAAAACAAAAATGATACGGGCTAGAGAGATGACTCATTGTTTAACAGTAATTACTGAGTTCAGTGCCTAGCACCCACATGGCAGCTCACAACTGTCTGCTGTCCTCTTCTTGTGTGGAGATTTACAATGTACATACAAACAAAGTACCCATATATATAAAATACATAAAATTTTAAAAAACAAGTTGGTACATGAATATTGCAATATCATATCATTATTCATTCCTGATTGACAGAAATTCAGAGAAAAAAATTTAAAAAAAAAACCCTAGTGTTTAGCTCCTACAAATTGCCCGTATGAATTCACTGATGTATAAACAGCTTTTTTGTTTACTTGCTTGCTTGTTTCTTCTCACTAATTAGAAACTTGGAGCTAGCAGGAATTGGGATGTGGCTACTTTGGCTGTATTCCAGATACAAGTCAAATTTAAATCAGTTCTATATACCTCCCATTCAAAGACCCAGAATAAAACAGCAATTATTACTAGGTTTTGATTTCCTCATAGTAGAAAGCAAGTGCACAGGGTCCAAGTTACAAAAACTCAGGTGGTCTCTCCACTCTGTGCCAGGAACCAAACCAAGGACCCTATGCTTGCTAGACAAGCAGTCTTCCACTGAGCTGATTTTCCAACCCTCAGAAACTCAAGGGAGGCCTCTGACTAAGTGTTCTATATATCCTACACACCCACATTTCATTAACTAAAGGGAGTTGTGTGATCAAGAAAATTATGTGGAGATGCTATGGAGTAGAGAGAGAGAGTACAAAGGAAAGGAGAAAGGCATGTTCTGTACCTTTCATAAAACTTCCTAAAATGTATTCATACCCCTGATGCATATGTATTATGGTAAAAACTTAGTATGTGGGCTAGCAAGGTAGCTTTAGCCCATAAAGGTCCCTCTCGCCAAGCCTAATGATCTGAGTTTGATCTTCAGAAGCCACAGATAGAAGCAGAGAATGGATTTCTTCAAGTGGTTTTCTGACCTTCACATATATACTTTGGTATTCATGTACACACACACACACAAATATATAATTGTAAAACTTCTATATGTGGTCACTCCTTGCCTGTAGACAAATTGGAAATACAACCTTTATTCTAGACAGCCAGTTATTCCATTAAAATGAAAAGTTTAGCTTTTTCTGTTTTTATGAAACACCTTTCATGGTATGGAGATATGGCTCAGTGGTAGAGTGTTTGCATAGCATACTCAAAGTCCCAAGTTTCATGTTCAGCACAACAATAAAATAAACCAATAAATGAAAGATCACATATACCAGCTCACATATGTAATTCTAGCAGTTGGGAAGCTGATACAGAAAAAAATTTCCAGGAGTTTGATTCCAGCCTGAGCTACACAGTAAATTTAGGACAGCCTGGTCTGTAGGAAGGATGGCCTCAGAGTCTAGATTCTCCTGCTTCTGGCCTCTCATGTGCCATGATTACAAATGTAGTATCACCTCATCTTAATTATGTCAGCAATAACACTACAGATGCTCCTCGATTTATGATGGGGTAAACAAGTTGGCCTATTTTACATTGAAAGTACCCTAGGCAAGCAAAAGTGTAGATAGAGCATATGCAGCCAAACACACACACACACACACACACACACACACACACACACACACACACACACTTAAAAAGAAATTCAAGTCCTTAAAGAAAAAATGTCACCAGTCACAGCAGTAGAAGAAAACAAAACAAACAAACAAACAAAAAAGCTTATCTGCTGACAAAAGAAGTCATGCAAAACAAGTCCAAATCATTGGGTATAGCTGGAGGTGCCAAATATAGCCCCAATCAAAGGTCCATTTCTGGATCCGTACTTAGAGGATATGGAAATACCGCTGGGAGAACTAGGAGATACCACTGAACTGGCCTCTGGCTTGAACTTAGTGAAAGCCTTCCCCTGGCTTTCTTGATAACACATAAGCCTTTCTTTTGAGGTTCTGATGAGTTTAATGTCCCCAAATCCCTTCTCGTTGTATAAATATTATTGCTAACATGGCATAGCCATGCCACCCAGACCACAGGGAGAAAGAACATCACCCATAAATCATTGTTTCTCCATTATCCAAACAGAGGCCTTTTTCTTGGCACTAGGAAAGCTTATCCTGTGTAGAAGCCACTTTCAGAATAGGAAAAGGCATTTCCAGAACTTGTTCTTAGCACAGACACCTTTGGGAAGAGCATAGAAAACATTTCTCCCTTTCTCCTCACAGCTGTTTCCTGGAGCCTTTGCAAATCAATTCGGCATGAAGGGAAAAACAAGTCAACCAAAGAAGCTGCCTTAAAAATTGTGACATCAAGCCAGGTCCAGTGGCTCTTGCCTATAATACCAGCACTTGGAAAGCTGAGGCAGGAGGATGGCTGTGAGTCTGAGACCAGCTTGAGCTACAAGTGAGACTGTTTCAAAAAACAAAAAAATGAAAACAAAAACAGAAAGAAAAAAGAATAACTATGATGTCATGGTGTCAGTGGCTCTTGGGTCACTCTAGTTTTCTCCACTCTAACTATACCAACAAACTTAATTCCTTAGAACAACAATCATGTGGCAATGTGACTAGCAGATGCCACAAACGTGGCCTGTCTGGCATCCAGGGAGAGGTTTTGCATGATTTCCTTCATGACTGTACATGCTCTTCTTTTTAGTGCTTTGGCCTTGCCTACTTACTAAAAGTGTCCAATGGCATGCAGATACATTCTCTGTGCTTCTATTCTCACCCAGTTCAGTCCCTCATTTAATGTCATGATCTTCTCCATACAATAATGTCAGGGAGCTCACAGGCAGGCTTCATCTATAGAATACACTTTCTCTAGCCTGAGTACCTTTATTAGGAAAAGCCTCCCAAATGTTAGGGGATAGAGGTTTTAGCCTGAAAATCTTATTAAATCATCTAAATAAAGAGAATTCTTTTGTTCTAAGCTTTAATAATGATACTACTCCTACTACCTATTGCAGCTATCTTATGAAGGTGGTCATAATACTTATTTCTTTGTCAATATTAGTTCAGTTCTGTTCTTAGACAACAGATTTGTATTGTGCTTAAATGTCTTTGGGTAAATGCCTGTCCACATGATCACTGGCCATTGTAGGCCCTGTATCTGTGCTGGCCACCTCATCCACAGTCACAGCGCCGGGGAAGGCTCTTCTTGAAGGTAGAACATCAGGAGGACATATCCTCTGCTTTCTTCTCCCTTGTGGAACTTCATGAAAGGCTTGTATCTTCTTTCTACTTGACTGAATAAAGAGCTGGAGGGTTTCTCTGAGTCCTGATAGGATAAGAACGGTGTCCTTGGGCAGTGACACAGCCCCAGGTCCATTGGCTGCCCCTTAGAGGTGTATCTGCACCTTTCTTGACCTCTGGAACCCTAGAAGCACTGGAAGGTGAAGGACCTTTTAGGAAACCCATTCTTCTGGTCTGGCTGCTTTTGTTCTTTCTCTCTCTCCTATCTCTTTTGCATAGTAGCAGAGGCTGTCTTTGGATGCCTCATCTGTTGCTGCTGCTTCCTGAGTGACAGAGTTACAGGTGGACACCACCATACATGGTTTCTAGGGATCAAACCCAGGGTTTTGTTCCTGCTTAACAAGCACTCTACCAACTGAGCTATATCCCAACCTCCATTTTGCTTCCTTTTTGAGGGTCCAGTTTTTCAAACTGGACAAACTACATTGGTAAATGTCTCTGTACAATTTCTTTTTCTTTTATTTTTGTATAACACAAATGACTTTGTAATCCAGAAAGGAGGCTGGGTCTGTTGAAGTCTGTGGGATACTCTACTTGGTTTTTAGTCCAAGAAGTGCAATCTATTGGAAGAGGAAGTTTCAACTGCCCAGTGTTCAGAAATCTGAGAAAAAGTACTTTCTTAGGGTTGGTAACCCAGATGGGCAAGTGTCTGGGAAAGATGAGTTGGAAGAGTTAGGCTAACCCTCTGGCCAAGGGATAGTGTTGAGGATAAAGAACTGCCGGTGTTTGGGTTTGGGGCAATGCTCTCGTCCACCTCAAACCCCGTGATTGATTGTACTAAGCTTTTGCTTTCCATTTGAGATAATCTTTCACTCCTTGAAAAGAAAAAACAAACAAAACAAAACAAAAAAAAAAAAAAACCAAAAAACCAAAACAAAACAAAACAAATCAAGAAACAAACAGATTCACAGCTAGATGTATGTTGTTTCTTTGAATAAATCTTGAAACAGGACCACTGGGTACAGTTCTGATCATTTATATTAAGATCTAAACAGCACCCAGGGGAACTTGAACACTGAAGGGCATCTTCTCTCTGTGCATTCAGGAGTAGCTGCATCAAGGTTTGGTACATGGAATGATTCTGGGAGGACAAATGATTGTTAAGACAACACTGAAATGACCGTTGGCTTGGACTAAGTGAAAAGTGTCATTTGATTTCCTTTATCAGTAGAGAGGCCTTTCCCCTTACTGCTTCATTAGTGACATTTTTCTTGCTGGTGTCAGTACCTGGGAGTGAACTCTAATGATAACACATGTTCTCTCCTTTCCTGGGGAACCAGTTCTGTTGTAGATAGTCTTCATGATTTGGAAAAGCATTGCATTGCTTCTGTAAGACTTTTTCTGGTAAAATGCCCAGAGGTGGGAAAGCTTTGTATCTACCCGGCTGATGCTAGACTCCAAGCAGCCTTGCTGTTGCTGCAGCTGGGGACAGAGAGCTGAATATGCACCTGCCAATTGAGGTCCTGGGATATGTCTCCATTGAAACCTCTTTGTATGTTACAGAAATATGCACTAGCTTGGACTCAGGAAGCTGTTTCATTTGAATGTCTGCATCTTTAGGATGAGTGGAGTCAGTATTGCTCAGGGTTAAAAAGCCTTCCGTGTGGGCTGATAGATATGATAGTCCATGAGGGTTGAGACAGAGTCCATGCTTCTCCCCCCTTGGCCAGGGTTCTTTCCCTAGCCAATGCATGAGTTGGCAAAACCCCCCATTTGCCTCATTTCCCAGCTTATCATAGGGGAATCATTCATTTGGAAGTAAGACATATGTGAGACATTCTTTCTAGGGTCACATCTAACTCAACCCTCTCCCACAAATGAAACTATTTATTCTATAAATATCCTACAGCGACTTTCGGTTAGAAATTACACAAGCAACAAAAATATATTTTGGGAATTCATTTTCTAGTTCTGAGTTGGAGGAAGTAGGAGGCCAAAGAATGCTTGGAGGTACATACTGCTAAGTTAGACACAGCCATCTGATGGGATGAGGAGTGTCGTTCGATCTTGTGTAATGCTCTAGACAGGTATCTCAGGAAAGTAACATTGGTCTTTGAAAGCTGATCTAATATTATTTGGGTTGCAGTAACTTTCTCTTAATTATATATTCACATATTACATAGTCTTGATGAAAATATTCTTTCTAGAATAGTTTTCAGGTTCATAGTTTGGGTGTACTTGGATCTTAGACTTTAGTTTCTCTGCAGGAACTCAAATTGGCCAGCAACCTGAAGATATACCAGTTGTGAGGCGATACTTTTTTTTTTTTTTCTTTTTTAAATTCAGACAGTAGAACATATCCAAGATAGGTTTGGACAGATGTCATTCTCACAAATATCTGGTAGGGAAAGTACAAAGAGCTGTCTCAATATAGGGGAAGGCAGTGCGGGCAAGTTGTGCAGGGGAGCTCTGGGAGACCGGTGACAGGCCCATTCACATCAGGTCTCTTCTTAACTGCCTTCTGACCTACATTTCTCTGTTGCTGGGCTGTCATTGGGTGGCCAGGCTTCAGGATGAACTGGCACTGCATCTCTTGGGCAGCTCTTTCATGAAGAAAGACTTATAGGAGTTGGGAGGGGTTGCAGAATCCCTTGATTCCCCCCCCCCCACCTCCCACCAAGACAGGATCTCTGTGTAGCCTTGGCTATACTGGAACTCACTCTGTAGACCAGGCTGGCCTCAAACTCATAGAGATCCTCCTGCCTCTGCCTCCTGAGTTCTGGGATTAAAGGTGTGTGCCACCACTGCTCAGCTGAGTCCTTTGATTCTTGTGGCAGTAATTTGGTGTCTTGAAATGATTTGTTTAGATTCCATAGGATAGTTGTTCCCAGTGGGATGCTGCCGTAATTTTCAGAACAGATCCGTAACTGGCTGTCTTCTTTAGAAGTAGTCATCCTTCAGATGGTGGAGTAGTCCAGCCCCAGACTCAAGTTCGGCTTCCCTGGCATTGATAAGGGCATGATGTTAACTTCATTTCCTGTGTCTGAATTCATTCCTGTTATAGTTTTGTAATTAACCCACTTCTGAGATGGTTGGTGAATATTTTGAGGTGAATGCCCTTTCGATTGTTCTTCTCTGTCTGGACAGGTTAAGACTGTAGATACCACAAACTAAAATTATTAGGGGTTTCCTGGGGGGGGGGCAGCAGAACTGTGGGTGAGAAACAAGGAAGGCTAAGAAAGCCATTTGTCCTATTATTCTGGAGAACTAAAAGTGGCTTAAAGTTTACATTGCCACCCTATGCCCCCAAGCCAAGGATGTCATGGCATTGGTGTAGCCTTCTCCCACTTTATCCATGTAGTTTGCTGCCTACCTGTCAGCCAATTATATATTTTTTTTCTTAAAGGTATTGTGGCATTTGACACAGCAAAGGGATCACTGATTGGGAAAGATGCCATCCCTGCCTCTGCAGGCCACTGTTGAGTTTTACATAACTATCCTACTAGAACACAGAAAATAGCCAACTCTGGGAGAATTTTCTTTGTTTTTTTCCCTACTGGTCTGTTTTTGCAGGACTTTTCTACATTAGAGGGCATTCCTCCTGTTTCCAGTAAAGGTTTTCATTTTCTTCCTCAGTTGCTAGTGACCACAATCAGACCAGTATACCTGTCCCTGATAACTTTGGAGCTGACCCTATCAAGGCCATCTTGAGGGACATACAAGGATGGGGAAAGGTGATTCCTTAATCCATGTCTTCACTGGGGGCTGAGGAACCTGATTAGGGATCCAGTGGTAACTGGAAATGGCAGGGAGGCTCAGGGATTACTCCTACACAGGTTAAGATGTAGATACCACAAACCAGAGTTCTTGAGAGTTACCTGAGCTGAGGAGAGCATGTGGGGTAAGAAGCAGGAAGGCTAGAAAGCCCTGTGTGGTTCCCCTGGGCAATGACTGTTGAAGCAACCAGCACATGTATAGAGAAAGGATGCACACTGGCCTGAGACTAGGGTAGTGGGAGGTATGAGATACCCCATCAGTGTGCCCATTCTCTGGGCACCGGTACCTCTCAGGATCCAAAATACTGCTTCCATGAAGAATACCTTGCAATAAATCTGAGCCAGGTTGAGGCTACGTGGCTGAGCCCACAGACTGGTAGTTAGAAGCATAATGTTTCAGAAAATATTTGGACAACATTGATATCCTTGTTTTGTGTGTGTGTGTGTGTGTGTTTTTGTCTTTTGATATCCTTGATATCAAAGGAGGCCTTGCAGTGCAT